ATTCTATGATTCTATGATTCTATGAAAATGCCTTTTTAAGACAGACCAAAAGACGCAAGTATACAAGAGTTACCTACAGGTGAACTTACCGCTTTGGAGTTCTCTTTGTAGCGAAAAGCAAGCTGGTATGCAGCAAAAACCAATGGTGGAAGTGTAAAACGAATACGTTGATTCCCACCTGCACCAAAGTGCTTCCGGGCAGTGTTGAGGATCTAGAACACAAGCACCGTAAGCTTACAGCATTCTTGAAAATGTGTTTTATTCACATCTATAACTTAGTCTGCACTCTATGGAGTAAGAGCATCAGAAAGACATGGTGCCAGCATCAAACAGACTGCAGTATTTTGGAGGAACTACATACAAGTTGCTTTACTTGAATTAAATGTGTGCAGTCTCTGTATCATCTCCACAAACTTTTCCTACAGCTGCTTAATAAGTGTTAGGCAGCACTTGTACTATATTCATTGCACATACATTTTAGACTGTGCAGCAAGATGGAAGTTGCCTGAGCTTGCATTTAATAATGTCGTCAGATACATTCTGTCCTCAACTCAATCAAAGCTACAAAAGGACTATTTTTCCTTACAGTAGCCTGTAAGAATACAAAAGAAAGAAGCCAAGTTTCATGATACTGAACACACAAGTCTATAAGGAATCTCATACTCTGAGAGAAAGACTACATTCTGGTAGCCACACCTGCAACTGTTGCCATTTTCCCCTGCTTTTAGGTTTTCATTATGCTCATTAATGCTTCTTTTATTGCATTTCTCAGTTTTAAGCACAAGCCACACATACAACATGAACATGATGCTTCTTCGCCTTTTGCCCTTTTTCTCAATGTGTGGAGAGAGACTACTGAGCTCTCCTTGTTTGTACGGTTAGCTTCTCCCCTTCCCCTTATTTTGGGATTATATCTATCCATTGATACAATTAGTCATGTATAACAGAATTCTTGGTAATAGCAAGAACCTCAGGTATCGGAAATTATTCAATCCATTCCAGGCAACCTAAACATTAGAATAACCTGACTCGCTTCCAAAGGGGACAACTCAGACGTGCCGTTTTTCACACTAAAACTTCAGAAAGCAAATCCCAGAGAATTTCTACTAGAGATCAGAGTTAAAAAGTGAGGGGGGTTTTGTTTTAAGTGTCAGAACAATGATGGCTAGGTTACTACAGCTAGGTATTACCTTGCTTTCTAGTCACAGCAGTCCATTATCACTTTGAAACAAGCACTAGAAGTGAAGCTCAGTGTCCAACCCTACACACATTTTTAGATTACATGAATTGTAATTATTTGCAGGAATTCCTAGAATTTTTTTGTAGGAATTACTAAAATTCCTGTAAATAACGTGAGTAAATAGACCACCTCTTATTCACTGTATTAGACATTTTGGCTTGTAATGCACTAAGGTGTTCGAATTTGCATTTCAGATCTCTTCCATACAGAATGCATAATTTAAAGTGAAATACTGTGAAAGAGCTGTGAAAAACCCATAGTCCGGGTTTTTTCCTACTGTTCCTGTCAAGTAGGAAAATCTGATATAAGCATTTGTGATGCTGATCAAAAAGTACAAATTAATATAGTTGCATCCAAACTGCCCCTAATGTTTTTAAGTCCTTATCTGCTTTTTCCAAATACAAAACATTTCAGACTAGCATTAAAGCTGTCACACAGTGTTCTCCACCAAGTTTGTAGTGCCAGAGCAGTGATGCCCCAGCTCCCAGCTACAATGAAGTCTTATACAGTAAATAAAGGAAGAACTGACAATTCAGGAAACACGAACATTTTGAAGCACTAATGGCCATACCAGATACTGTTGGTCAGGGTCATCTGAACGCAAAAGATGAATAAATCTTCCCACAAGACTCTGCTCATCAGCAAAGTCCTCAGGGTCAGGATCTTCAGCAGGCTGATCTGGTTGATCCTGGATCAGTGTTGATACCAAATTCATGATAGCATCAACCTGTTAAAGACAATAATAGCTCTGTTTAAATCCAAGCAGGCTATAAGCATAAGTTGAAGTGGGAGCATCTTTACAGCCATTCATAGAACTGATGAAGCATGACAAAAGTCCGAGTTGGTGATGCTTTAGAACGTATTTGCCCTACTCCCTGAAGAACAATCCCTCCTAGTGCAAGTGGGACAGCATAGCAGCACAGAGGAAGTTCAGATTCCAAAAGTACTATCCAGTCTTCTTCAGGTAATTTTAAGGGGGTTCAGGGTCTTTGTTCAAACCTAACAGAAACAGTCTCTAGGATGAGGTTAGGTAAGACATGCAAAGACAAGATATTTAAGAACATGGGTGGATGAATTATCAAGTGGGATAAAGCTCTGCTACTAAGATGGGAAGGGGGGGGGATGTAGGCTAGGAAACAAAGCATGCCTTGTATGAAGTCTATGATTCTAAGTCACTTAGTACTCGTTTTCAAATCTTCAAACAGCAGTTCAAATACCTAAAATTTCAAATTAACTTATGTCATACCTGTTCTTGGGATACAATTTCTGTGTTATAATCCAATACATTGCTAAGCACGTAACAACTCATGCTCTTCCTGGACTCAAAATCAAAGTATTCAAAGAGTGGGTGAAAATGTTTTAGTTTCAGAACTGTCAGGATGTTGTTGTAAGTATCAACAGGAATTTTCAAAAGTCTAGTCAGCTCCTTTGAAACAGCACTGCTTGTTGCAATACTAAAAAAAATACATGCAAAACACACAATTAATTAATAGTTCACACATGCAGACAGATTTAAAGCCTGTCTCAATACCAATTCTAATGTATAGCACAACATCTAAGCAACTTGCTGATAGGGAGAAAGGAAAAGGTATCAAAACAACTTTTATCTTGCTCTTTAGGATGTACAGTGGAAAATGCATGTTTTAAGTTGCTTATAGCAGAAGCAGAGATTGTGGCTGCAAATTCAGCAAGGGGAGAACTCAAATGCTTTAAGGGATGAACAGATAATGACTACACACAGCTTGGCACACACATTGTGTACTGTGGAGTGGCACAGTTTATGCACAGGTGAGCAAGTCCTGGTTAGTCAGTAGTGTATCATGACCCTCTATAGCTTGGACCAAAGGCACTAATCTTACACATCAAAGTATGACTGATATTTTGCTAAATACAAAATGTAGAAGTCAAGATTTTAAAGTATTAATCACCACACCAGAGAGAATGAAGGAGACATTTACTTACTGTTCTAGATTAAGTTTGTTGAATATTTCCACGGTTGTCTCCAACACTTTATCAACGTAGTCAACACGGTCTGGGTAGCATTTCATAGCCAAGTTAATGAGAGAAACTTGCAAAGATACCACATCCTCTGAGGGCATGTCCTGACGAGACTGAAATTTAAGACAGCACTGAGTGGATAAGAAAACCCACATAACTTGCAAAACCACCCAAAACTGCATGTGAGAATACCCAGCATACCTGTATAACAGTAGCCACCTGCTGTGAAAATATGTCAAAAAGTTTGATATCTGCTGGGATACCAGGTCCATCTTCACGATGTGCAAATAAAGCTAACCTGGTAACAGAGAGAGGAAAGCAGCTTGGTCAGTGAAGCCTTTCGACTCCTCAGACACAGGCCAGAAAGAGATACTGACAGCAAAAGCAAGTCCTTTGGTATATTTGCAAGTTCTAATACAAGCAAAAAGGAAATTAATGGAAGTCAGAAACGTCAAGAGCAACTGAGCCTGGTAACTATCAGTCCTGGAAAAGAGTGTCAACAGAGATGGCAAGCTGAAGAAACAGCAAGAAGGACATTTCATAATCCCATGTTTTTCAGCTAGGAGCAAGTGTCCTGTTCCAGCAGAGAAAGAGATATTCTACTCAGCTGATGGAAGAGCAAATATCCTGCATCTATTCAGTGACATTGCTGAAGTCACACATCCAGTAGCATTCTCTGCAAAACGGTCTCTAGAGAAAACACAGAAGAAATATGCTGACTTAACTATGCTTTGTCTCCAAAGACAGACCAATATGTTTGGTACTTCCAATGTCTGCAAAGACCAAAATACAATGTAAATTTGAAGTGGAGAAGAATACTTTTTTTTCAGGGGTAAAAAACAAAGGAAGAGATTGCTATCCAGCAAGCATCCAAAGGATGCTGTACACCTATCTCTACGTGTAACAAAAGAAAGTCATGCCAACCACCATGTCTGCAGAAATCAGACACAACATAAGAATCACTACAGGAAGGCAAGCACCTTACCAAGGCTGCAGCTAAAAACAAAGCTCAGCATTGCAATCTTTGCTTTCTAATTGTTAAGGGATTATTCTATACCGAATTAGAGAAAGACATACGAAAGTATTTATGAAAAAGCACCTGATTAAAATTTTTAAAGTTATTAAAACTTTAATTCTGAATGAACTTTGGGTCTGAAACAAAAAGGCAGGTAAGAAAAGACTGAAGTACCAAGAAGCTTCACTGCCAGGAAAAAACAGACATTGAACTACTCTTGTATTTCATTAAGGTGGTAACAAGCGGACTTCCTAAAGCCACGAACAATCACTGCCTTTTCTCAGTGGGACAAGGCAGGCTTTCTTGGCAACAGCTCAGAAGCTAAGGCCAGCATGCTACAAAGTATGATAAATTGCAGGCAGATGGCAGCATAATTAAAAGCTATGAATGGTTTAGTAAGGCAAGAAAGATCTCAAAGCAGCAAGACTATTTGCAGAAAGATTCCATAATGGAATGGCCCATGGGAACAGGGACTACAGCTTCAACAAGCTTCCTCAGCAGTCACTGATGTTCAGTTTCAATTACCCTACATCATCTGAAATAAAGATGAGAAACGCCAACAGGCACTATCTCTGTGCGGCAGATTCGCATCTTAACTACACAATACTGAAACACACAACAATTGCTCCTAACAACTCCAATCTAAACACAAGAACAACATCTCCCTTACACACATGGGACAGATCCATCCTCCAATACTTGCAGTAACATTACAGTCAAAAGCACAACTTGCCATAGTACAAAGATGAGGATCATCACACCACCACACTTCTACTTTTGTTCTATAGCCAAATGAGAAAGCTCTGGAAGACACTATTAGTGGGCCAACAAAACACAGTAGTGGTAAGTCTAGAAGGACAGCAGGCTCAGTCTTAAGTCAGTTGCTTACTGTTGTTTATAACAGTGAAAACTTACTGTGGAGGTAATACCAAAGCTGTTTAAGTCCTCTAAGTAGGCACAACTGCAAAAGCTACTTGAGGAAAACCTTGCAAGAATCACGTAACTATGCACTAATGTAAGTAAGAAGCTAGCAAAAGATTGTGACCTCTGTTGAAAGCAGTCGCAAAACAGACAGCTTCAGAAATTAGATTGTTACAGGCAATGCCTTTGGGGATTTGGAGGTTTTGTGTTTGTTTGTTTGTTTGTTTTTTTTAAAGCTAACTAAATTATGAAAAACAACCTCACAAGGCCACAGTGGCAAAGTGTGGAAAACCAGTGAATTCCTGTGAACATCTCCGGATGAAGGCACAGCTGTTCCTCTGCCAAGTGCACAAATACTGAAAGATACTCCAGTAAGACTGAAGTGCTGAACAAATAGATCTGATGTAACCTGAAGAAAACAAGCTACAGATTCATTTTTACTACAAGATCCTAAGTTATACCATTCATGCTTAATATATACATGTTCCATCTCCAGACATTAGAGAAGACAAAGAAACAAAACCACAATGAACACACTCATTGTTGAATGCCAGTAGGACTCAAGATCCCTATGGCAACTGAAGTCCATACATTGGTACATGGACCAAATACACAAAGGAACATACATTTGTGGGCAAATCCCAGGACAAATCTTTTCTGAGGCTTCAAAAAGCCAGGGAAGTGCACTTCCTTTCCTCACCAAGAAACTACAGGCACTCACTGATAATCTGTGTTGCTTCCTTTCAGGATACAAATCAAAACTTCAGTTTGATCTTAAAGGTCTTTTCCAAACTAAATGATTCTATGATTCCTCCCCAATATTTGAATTCAGTACAAGCAGTTTTAAGCTGTACCTCCACAGAAAAAACACTTTTGGGAGAACAGGCAGGAAGTTAGTGGTAAACTAAGAAATTAAGAAGGTAGTTCCATTTCCTATTAGCTCTTTTATGAAGAGGTGATACGTTATGCTCTCTTATCAAAATTGCAAGGTAAAGTATCCTTGATAAATGATTTAGCTGTGAGGATTTTCAGGGTTTCAAAAGATACATATGAACAATATGGCTGTCAAAGCAGGACACTGCTAACATTTTAGCTCAGAAACATGAAATCAGTCGATACTAAATGGGTTGTTTTCTGGTTTAATCTGTTTACAAGTTTTAATCAGTCCTTAAAGCACATTTCATTGGAAGCTGTAAAAGCAGTCCAGAGGGCAGAAGCTATGTTATTCACAGCCCTAATTACAGCTGCTGGAAAGACACAGAAACAGTGAAGTTACATCATATCACAAATGGAAAATTTCCAAATGCTGGAAGAATTATCATCTCCTTGTGCACAACACAAACTTAATTTTGAGCCAATTTCCATCCCCGTGGTCACTCACCTGTCAATTAAAGCGATAATTATATTTTTCACGTTCACATTTTGGTGCAGCTCAGCACAGGCTCTGAGAAATGGGTTCAGGGTTTGGAGGTGAAATTCATCTGGAAAAACCTGAAGTTTTAGATCAATAGTCATCATTAGTTACCAAAAAAACAAATCAAATTGAATTTGCCAGTTGTTACACAGCAGTAAAATGCAAGGAAGAAATTCTAAAGCAGACAGTCACAAAGTAAATATGGACTGGCCTACCAGTGCTTTAGGGCTCCCCAAGCTGACCATGACTGGGTAAACGCATGAAGCAAGAAGTGCAAGACAAATGGATAACTTGAGGGACCAGCTATCTATTATTATTCATACTGCAAGCACTGCAGCTCAGATGTTTACAAGCTTCTGCAGCAGAAGGAGCACAAAATCATTTCATCTCCACTCTGCCCATCTAATCTAGTTAAAAAATATGGGATAAGGCACTAGGTTAAGAGTCCCAGTAATGAAGTTTTCCAGTTCATGAGGAAGAGGTAAAAGCCTGAATCTGACTAAAAATAGAGTAGTAAGCGTCCCTGTGTCCCATCACTACAACTGAATTTAAGCAGCTCACCTGTATGATGCACTCCATGAGGTACTCCTGAGCTAAAGCATCTCTACAGTTTACAACTTGCTCCAATATTCCTGACAGAACAATCTGGAACAGGAGAAAGAATCTTGCAGTGATTTAACAATTACTTTCTAAGTTTATATTCACACTTGCACATTTAATCCAAGCAGAGCAGTACTTTTAACATTTCTCAGCTCTTTCTTTATTTTTTCTGATTAAAAGTCCCAGTTTTCAGCAGTTCCATCCTTCAGAGGAAAAAAATAAAAAATAAAAATCTCCTGGTCTCAAACATCTGTCCCTTTCATACATTGTACAATCTGCAAACTCTGACTTAGAAAAACAGTGCTACTAGCTTTGCTGGCATATACTACTACTCAGTCTCAGCAGCACTGCTTAAAAATATTTTTCAGCAGCTATATGGTAGAACTTTCAAAGGACACACTTCTAAATAATGTATTTGCTTGACTATCGTTTCATGTCATAACAATTCTCTTGAATCCTTTGGGAAGCATAGCTTCTTTTAACTTGTAAAGTCTACCACAGAACTTTGCATGTGTACATATCCCTTAAACCAACTCATTCTTTAAGTAAAATGGGAATCAAGAAGGAAAGTTTTAAAACTTCTTGTCAACATTACACACAAACTTAAAGGAAAAAGGCATGAGTCATCCTCAGTCTCATACACATTACACAGCTTCATTAGCCTTCAAAACTTTTCCTCAGGTGAAGAGTTTGAGAAGCACCAGGATTACTGAACTTTTAGCATAGCTGTAACCCTTCAAGTTGCCTATCTAAAAGTCCAAACTGGTTTCATTTGGAAAAAGTAAAAGTCAAAACGAATGGACAGACATCCTACCTGTTTGTATCGCTCCACATTAACACCTTCCAACTGACTGAGGCGAACCAGGTTTGTTCCCACTAGGATTCTGAGTTCCTGCCTTTCTCGCTCCCTTTTCTCTCTGTCCCGACTATGGCCCTGGTGTTGCATTCGCACCCAAAGTTTGTTCATCTCAGCAAAGTTCAGCAGCACAAAATCCATTGAATCACTAATGTCTCCAGTGGTTTCTTCACTGCAATTGAGAACAGGTTAGGAACAGGAAAACTTTGTCAGAGGTATTCATCCTTCCATCTGGTGAAGATCCCATTTTAAGAAGGTAGGAGGGTAGGGAAGTGTGTAGTGGGCTCATAAGAAAGTTTCATACCTCCCTTGTGAGAAATCTTAGTTCTGAAAGAGAATTCTGTTGTGGTTTAAGCCCAGATGGTAACTCAGAACCGGACAGCCGCTTGCTCCCTCCCTTCCTCCCTCCTCCCTCCCACCAGCTCCTAGAGGCACGGGGAGAAGAACTGAAAGAATGTACACCCCACGGGTTGAGATAAGAACAGTCCAAAAACTCAAGTACAATAAAAACTACTACTACTACCACTAATAATAACGATAAAGGAAATAACAAAGGGAGAGAATATTAAACTGAAAGGGGAAAAGAAAAAGAAAACAATAAACACAAGTGATGCACAATACAATTGCTCACCACCCACCAACCAGTACTCAGCCCAACCCGAGCAGTAATATGGGCCTTCTGGGTGACTGTCCCCAGTTTATATACTGGGCATGACGTCCTGTGGTATGGAATATCCCTTTGGCTACTTTGGGTCAGGTATCCTGTCTCTGCTTCCTCGCGGCTTCCTGTGCCCCTCCTCACTGGCAGAGCATGAGACTGAAAAGTCCTTGATCAGAGTAAGCATTACTTAACAACAACTAAAAACATTGGTGTGTTATCAGCGTTGTTCTCAGACTAGAGCTGAAAATACAGCACCACACCAGCTATTTAGGAAGGAGCAAAATAACTGCCACAGCTAAACCCAGGTTCACACCCTGCCTTGTGAGAAACCTTAGCTCTGAAAGAGAATTCTTAATGGATAAAATACCTGTTAGAACTCAACAGACTTCACAGATCTACTTACCTCAAACCCAAAGAAAGTCATACAAAAAATTTAAATAGGTCATGTTTAAAACAATTTTTTAAAAATTCTTCTCTGTGAGGGTGCTGAGGCGCTGACACAGGGTGCCCAGAGAAGCTGTGGCTGCCCCATCCCTGGCAGTGTTCAAGGCCAGGTTGGACACAGGGGCTTGGAGCAACCTGCTCTAGTGGAAGGTGTCCCTGCGCATGGCAGAGGGCTGGAACTGGATGAGCTTTAAGGTGTCCCTGCCCACCCAAACCAGTCTGTTATTCTATGATCTTACTCTGCTTGCTCGCCTTCATCTGGTAAAATATTCCTGGTACATTGCAGGAGATAGTTCCTAAGAAAGAGGCCTCTAAGAGGATGCTGTACTCCACGGCACATCTCCACCAGGTCTTTCAAAATATCTTTCCTGGACTGTGGAAATGACTTGACATAGACAACACCCACTGTTATCAGGAGATATCTGCAAAAGGCACAGAATCAAACAATAAATTATAAATAACATCATACTTAAAGGCAACAGTTCCTTTCTTCCATCCTGGCAGTATTACCAAAGCACAGAAAGCAATGTAGTATCATTTAGGTCCCATAATTTTGCATATTAAATTAGCTTTCAACTCCTGTTTTCCTCTGCCAGAGAGCACAGCAAGTCTGAACAGCCACCTGGCCTCATCACAACACTTTACACATGGAATCTTTAAATGTTTAGCATACATCAAGTTTTGAATGCTCTCAGATTAGCTTGTCTGTACTTCCAGCAGCCCACTGAATCGGAAAATATCTCCGACACACAGAGATAAGTAATCTGTTATGGTGAAGCACTTAAGCCTCTTTCACGCTTTAGTCTAGCAGCAGAGGTGTTATGCTCTTAAGAAATCCCCAGGCCTGTACTCATTCGTTCAGCATCTTTGTACTAAGTGTCAGCTAGAAGGGACATGGAATATGCAAAGGACTGATGCTCCAGTGTACTAGAGTCCCCTTCAGCTTAAGAGAAAAAACTTACAACATTCAGAACTTCCACATATTCTGTTTAGAGGCCTCAAGCCTCTGACACCTCTGTCTCCTGCATGGATGTGCACAGAACCTTCATGAAAGGACCAGAAATGTTCATGAGGGATAATGAGAGTCAACATCAAGCACCAAGAAGACAACTCAAACGATTATGCAGAGGGGTAAAGACATTGTGGTAGTCATTAGCCAAACTCCAGAAACTGCATGAGGATGCAGCCTTGTGTCTCCAAAGCCTCTTCCTGCCATGAAGATAATGTCAGGAATTAATAACTGCATTACCAAACAAAATCCAAGTCCTAAGTCTGAATATCTAGATCTACTCCAGCCCAATGGCCATATACTTAAAGATAAGCCTGCCGACATCATCTCTAGCATGAGATCATCATCAAAAGCACATATTCAGAACCATAAAGCTTTTAAAAATTAAGTCACAGAAATTTTCAGCGTCCTTCTCACACTTCTTACCCTCCAAGAGACAGACAGTTTTGAAGCATCTACTCTGTGTTAGAATCTAAGACTTGGATCTTCAGGTACAAGTTCATTAACAGATAATTGAAAATGTTAATAAATATGTAATCAATCTTAGTGATCACAAAGTGGTACTTCTGTGGTAGTAATCTTCCATTAGTACTGTGGTATTCATCTTCTACTGACCAGATCTTTATCCAAAAGCCAACTTTTTTCCAGTATCAAAGTGCTTCCATCTTGGGCATGTGCAAAACCAACACACTGGCAGGAAGAACTGACCTTCTAAAGCTGCACACTTGGCCTAAATCTCAGAAGTCTCATAGCAATCCTCTCTTAAGATATGCAGAAATACTGCTCACCACTGCAAACTGTATTTTTGCTTGATAGCAAGAATGCAGAGTCAATCATTATCTGAACCCAGAGTGTGACCACTATTAATTATTTTTAACACAGAGTAACATATACACACTTACAGTCTTGGAATAATATTTCCAGCGTACTGTACCAGCTCATAAAGGTCTGCCACTTTCCTTCCTTTGGCAAATTCATCTGTCAGGTAGACTTCCAAGTAGTGCAGCTCATCAGAAATGGCCATGTCTTTCTCATAGTTAAGGATTTTAATTTGAAATATCTACAACAGATTTACATAGTAATTTGTTCATTCACACTAAAAAGGAAAGATGCTGTACCAAACACAATCATGCCCAAGTAGGTAGTACTTCTGAAACAGTAATCACTATTGGGATAAACATGCACAACTAACCCCAAGCCTTCAATTGTCAGTTTTAGCATATTAAAAGAGGAAAAAAACCCCTAACTAAGTAAAAAAAGCAAGCAAATGAATGTGATTGAACAGAGTATCTAAAGCAACTGCATACTATGTCTTTAGAAGAAGACCAACCACACCTGGAGAAAGCAGTATTTTAATACATTCACATTCTATTCCTAAGTCTCATTAACTTCTTCAGATACCACAGTACACACAAGTAAACACACTGAGGAACTGACTTATGGCTAGAAGCTAATAAAATAACAAAGGGCAAAAATAAGTTGGTTTTACAAATTTTTGGGGTATCATACTGCAAGCAGAGCTGTTTTACAGAGCTGCTATTTTTATAGAACTAAACTACTGAAAGCCTCCAAAAGAAGATACAAAATACATTAAAGACTTGCTTTATACCAAAGGGAAAAGATGAACTTACACAGTGAGCAAATAAGTAAGTGTATCTTCTCCTACAATATATTCAGGTAACTAAATACTGAACAGTGCTAGTAAATACAAGATAGACAAGATGCCATTGTATCAAAAAAGCAGATGAACATTTCATTCAGTGCTTCAACTATTCATTTCCTCTTCAAAGGATACAGAGCTCGTAATAGCTCTTTGGAGATAACATTGAAGTCCGCAGCTCACCAAGCATGTTGGAAGCATGTTTCAGAGCATCCATGAGCTTGTTTTTGTCCTGTAGAGGAAGAGAGAATATTCTGCAAGAAATACTAGGCAACTACCGTATTTGAGAAAGCTACACTTTTAGTCTTTTCAAAAAGCAGATGGAGAATACACACTGCCAGTAGACCACTGTTAAGAATTCTTCTTTCCCT